AAGTCTTCAAATCATCCTTTATCTGCTTTGTCACCCCGATGCTATGGTGGGGGGCACAGAAAGCATGACCTGGCACAACTACCCTACATGCAAAATTGAGATGGCCCATTAGGGACTGAACCTGGTGAAGTGTAGTCTTTTTAACCCCCAGCATTGTTTCCAGCAAGGCTTTTAAGGATTCGAGTTTGGACTGCGGGAGGCGTGATGATTGCTGATGTGTGTCCAGTTCAATACCCAAGTAGGAAAGGACCGTAGAAGGGCCCTCGGTCTTGTCGGCAGCCAAAGGTATGCCAAAGTCCGCCGCAAGACACATGAAAGTAGCTAAGGATAGGGCGCAGGAGGGGGAATCCCAGGCCCCATGATCAAAATGTCATCTAAATAATGGGTCATGTAAGGGGAACCAGATGTCTTTTGGATGGCCCATTCAATAAATATGCTAAAGGTTTCGAAGGCCGCGCAGGCCACAGAGCAACCCATAGGCGTAGCCTTATCGAAATACCAACTCTCCCTGAGTTTAAGAGTCAAAAGTCCTCAGGATGATCTGGGAGCAGTCGAAAGGCTGACTTGATGTCACTTTTTGCCAATCAGGCCCCTGGGCCCAAATCCCTAATCGTTCTGATGGCCACGTCCAAGGACACATATTTTACAGAACAATGCTCACGTGGTATGGCATCATTCACAGACCCACCCCTAGGATATGACAGATTGTGTATCATACGGAACTCACTGGGAAGTTTTTTGGGCACTATGCCAAGTGGGGAAACTATAATTTTTTTGAAAAGGGGGGCAGGGAAAGGGCTGGCTACTAAACACCTAAATGCCGCTCTTTTTCAATTTTGTTAAATGCAACAAGGGGCATTTCCCTTACCAACTTTTGATTGGGAGGGGTTCTGGATACTGGTGAGCTGGAGACGGGGATGCAGAAGCTGTGGCGGACCCCTGCCTCCAAGTAGTTGGCTGCAGCCCTGTTGGGATAAGCTTGTAACAAAGGTAACATCGCTGAGAGGCAGACAGGGGTTGGGGCTAGGGCGGAAAGAACCTCATTTTCCAGAGGCAGCCTTGGCCTGTTGGGTTCCAGAGGTAGAGGCTCCTGAGTCTCCCTTGGCGTCCCTGGATCCACTCCCCTATCCTGTCTTTCGAAAACCACAAAAAGGAGGCTTAGCCCGAAAACACTTAGTCCGTGGGTGAGGACCACCGCAGCGCTCGCACACATGGTCAAAATGGCATCTGTCACTGCTACACAACCCATTATTAAACTCCCAGCATGCTAACGTAGCCACCCTCTGTACTTTGGAGGAGGGTTTGCCTGATTTCCCCCCAAAAGCCCTTTTTTGGAAGTGTGGTGCCACTACTTCGAACCAAATATCACTGTCCTTAATGTCCCACCGCGCCTTGGGGTCTTCAGCAGCCCTCTCATGGAATCCTCATCATACGCTAAAGCCACCGAGCCCCCTGCCATTTTCCTGGCTTTTAAAATAATGCCTTGGTAGTTGGCTAGGTGCCATGCCTTGTCGGGGTAAGTGGCGGCCACCAACCCCATGTAGGATGTGTGAGTGATTAACTGTGCTGGTCCCGGGGGGAAGGTTACCGTTGGCGTAGTCAAAGTCCGGTCCTGGGTCACTGGTGTGGAAACAGTTCACAAGGAGCGAGGCGAGGTCAGAAGCTGGAAGCTGGGCGGGGACAGGAACACTGGAAGGTCAGAAGCTGGAAGCCGGGTGGGGACAGGAACACTGGAAGGTCAGGTCTGGGTCTGGGTAGGTGCAGGTACTCAGCGACGACGTTGCTCCCGCAACCTGGGACTGGGCTGACTGGCCTTTATCTTCTCTGAGGCCAGGGGCGGTCCCGGCCCCCAGGAGACCCGCCTCTCCTGGCCTTAAGGCGAGCACTCCTCCTGGGAGAAACCAGTTCCCTTCGCCTCTCTGCCCTGAGCCTCTGCAGTTCAGGAGAGGCTGAAGGGTTACTGGGCCCAGGGGGAGACTCACCTGTAGGCACTGAGTCCTCAACCACCTCTGGAGCCAGAATGGATTCACCTGAGGATCCGGCACAGGTGCAGGCGCTTCAGAATCAAGGCCCTGCCCCAGTTCAGCCGGCCCTGGAGGCGGGGACTCCTGCGCAGGCTGGGATTCCTCCGGTTCAGCCTCTGAATCGGATTCCCAGGCCATCACACCATCCCCCCTCCCAGCCCCCCCCCTCAATCGAGGGTCTGGACCCGGCTTGCTGGGGTACGCCGCATGGAAATCTCGGAGGCAGGCAGGCGCGTGGACGTTGGCTGCTGGTTCCCAGGAACGGTCCTCCGGTCCATACCCCTTCCAGTCTATGAGATACTGCAGCTTTCCCTTGCGGTATCGGGAGTCCAGAATGCGTTCCACCTCATACTCAGGCTCCCCCTGAACCAAAACTGGCTGCGGTCGGGGACGGTTCGGGTGGAACTCGTCGGGTGGGGCCACCGGACTCAGAAGGGACCTGTGGAATACCGGGTGAACCTTCAGGGTTGCAGGCAACCGGAGACGGAATGCCACAGGCGAGACCTGGTCCACGATAGGAAACGGGCCGGTGAAACGGGCGTCCAGCTTCCGCGAAGGTCGAGAGGGGTGGAACTGGCAACGGCTGAAGTAGGCCGGGGGGTCGCCCGGTAGGGCCCTTGGCCCGCCGGCAGACATCACGACCAGCAACGTAGCGAGCCACGTCAGCCTTCAGGCGGGGCCACCAAAACTCACGGCTTACCAGATGGGTGGTCCGATACCGCCCAAAGTGTCCCGCTGCTGGGGCATCATGGGTCATCCGGAGAACCTCAGCCCGCAGTGGCCCTGGCGGGATATACAGGCGACCGTGGTGCAGCAGAAGGCCCTGTTGCAAGACCAGCCCCGGATACTGAGGGCATGACCCTTCGGCCAGTTCCCGGAGTCGCTCCTGGGCCCAAGCGTCGACCCGCTGCTGTTCCCGCACCCGAGCCTGCAGTGGCTCAGCCTCCTGGGTGGCCAGGAATGCAGCCGGTGGTAGGATCGTGGTGGGTACTGCTTGCTGTACCGTGTCTGCGCTGTCTTCAGGTTTCCGGGACAGGGCATCTGCCTTCTGGTTTTGGGAGCTAGGGATGTAGCGGATCAGGAACTGGAACCGGAAAAGAACAACACCCACCGGATCTGCCTTTGGTTCAGCTTGCGGGTGGTCTGGAGGTGCTCCAGGTTCCGGTGGTCGGTTCTCACCTCCACTGGGTGTCGTGCCCCCTCAAGATGGTGGCGCCAGACTTCAAAGGCCACCTTGATGGCCAGTAGTTCCCGCTCCCACGCGGTATAGTTGCGCTCCGCTGGAAGGAGCTGGCGGGAATAGAAGGCGCAGGGTAAGAGTGGTGCATCAGGTCCGTACTGCTGAGACAAGACGGCACCGAGAGCCGTACTGGAGGCGTCGGTCTCTACCACAAAGAGTCGAGAGGGATCAGGGTGTTGCAAAATCGGCGCTCTCTGGAAACAGGCTTTCAACCCCTGAAACGCCTCCTCTGCCTCCTCGTCCCAGGAAAACGGCGTCTTGGGGCGCAGTAGCCGGGTCAACGGGGTGGTGCGATGAGCATAATCTGCAATGAAGGTCCGGTAATAGTTGGCGAACCCCAGGAATCGCTGTAGGTACTTGCGGTTCCGAGGTGCCACCCATTCCTGAACCGCTGCCACCTTCCCAGGATCCATCTGCACCCCATCTGGAGAGAGTCGGTGACCAAGGAAGTCCACTGACCGCTGATGGAACTCGCACTTGCTGAGCTTCGCATACAGGCGGTGCTCCCGCAAGCGCTGCAGCACGGTCCGGACATGACCCTCGTGGAGAGCCGGGTCACGGGAGAAAACCAGAATGTCATCCAAGTACACCACCACGTACTTGTCTAGCAAGTCCTGGAACACGTGGTTGATGTACTATTGGAACACAGCGGGCGCGTTGCACAATCCGAAGGGCATAACCAGGTATTCGAACTGCCCGTACCGGGTCCCGAATGCTGTCTTCCACTCATCCCTGGCTCGGATCCGAATTAAATTGTAGGCCCCCCGGAGGTCTAGCTTGGTGAACACCTGCGCCCCTTGCACCTGCTCCAGCAACTCCGAAATAAGGGGCAAGGGGTACCAGTCTGGGATGGTAATTTTGTTCAGGGCCTGGTAATCATGGCAAAGGCGAAGCTCCCCACATTTCTTCTTAACGAAGAGCACTGGCGCAGCGGTGGGCGAGGTTGAAGGCCTAATGAAACCACGCTCCAGGTTCTTGCGCAGGAAGTCCTGCAAAGCTTCGCGCTCTGGCTCTGTTAGAGAGTATAAGCGACTCACCGGCAGGGGTGCTCCGGGCTGGAGGTCTATGCCGCAGTCAAAATGCGGCCGATGCGGCGGCAGCTGGTCTGCCCCCCATTCCTCGAACACGTCTTGGTAGTCCCGGTACTCAGCGGGGAGCGTGGATGCAGCCTCCTCAGTGGGAGCGGCTGCTAGCATCTCGGACTGAGCATGGGGACATGGGTCTGGGAAGTGCACAGTCCGATTGACCCAGTCAATCTGAACATTGTGAGCCTCCAGCCAGTCCATCCCGAGCACCAGGGGGAACCGTGGCATGGAGGCAATGTCCAAAGTTCGCACCTCCCGGTGCTGCTGGAGACACAGGACCAAGGGCTGGGTCTCCCGAGTGACGGCACCCGAACGCAGGAGCCGTCCGTCAATTGCCTCCACCTGAACTGGTTCTGGCTTGTTCTGAAGTGGCACCCGATGATGAGTGGCAAAGGCAGCGTCCATATAGGAGCGGGTTGCCCCTGAATCCACCAGAGCATGGGTAATAATCCAGGGCCCACCTGGAGGGTAGAGACGCACCGGAACCATGTGATGTCGCAAATCCACTGGTGAGGGCCCCTCTTGCATGGTTTGGGACCCCAGGTTGCTAGGGCCTTCGGCTACCGAGGTTGGCGGTTTCCCTGCGACTGGCATCTTCTTGGGACAGGATCGGGCGTAATGTCCACTCCCACCGCAGTAAAGACACTGGTTCCCCTCCCGACGCCGCGTCTTCTCCGAGGGGGAGAGGCGAGGTCGCACAGCCCCGAGCTGTGTTGGCTCGTCCGGCAACTCGGCTGTGGGCGTGGACCTGCTGGGAAGGACTGGAGCCAGGAGCCGGGGGTGCTGGCGGTCCCGGGCCTGGCGACGGTCCTCCAACCGGTCGTCTATCTGCAGGCTCCGCTGAATAAGGGCGTCCAGCGTGGTGGGATGATCCATCATGGCCAACTGGTCCAGTATCTCATCTGACAGTCCCTCAAGATACTGGTCCCGAAGTGCAGAGTCATTCCAAGACAAGTCTTGCGCCAACAGCCGAAATTCCATGCTGTAGGCGGCCGCAGTGGACTTGCCCTGTTTCAAATGCCTAATTGCCTGGTTGGCTTGACTCTCCTTCTGGGGGTTGCCGAACGCAGCCTCCAAATGGTTGCAAAACCCCATATAGTCTGTCAGCAAGGGGGAGTCTTGCCTGAGCAGCGGCAATGCCCACTTGGCCGCCTGGTCCTTTAACAAACTGATCAAAAAGTGCACCTTGGTGCGGTCGTCAGGGAAGTTCTGGGCTCGCCCCAATATACAACTTGGCCTGGGCGAGGAACATGGGAAAGCTGGCCGGGGCCCCATCAAATTTCTCTGGCAAAGCCACTGGGTACTTGCCTGGAGCTGGGGCGTCGGCCACAGGAGCCGGTAGGGTGTCCAACCACTGCTGAAGTGCCGTAACGGCATCGCTTAGCTGCTGAACGGTGTGGGTCAAGGCCTGGTTCTCCTGGGCTAATGCCACCAGCGCAGCTGCCTGGTCAGCCATGGCTTCTGGCTTTTCCCAAACGCACCCCAACGAAGGGGGAGTGCGGGTGTGGCGGGAGCAAACTGTGCTGGTCCCGGGGGGAAGGTTACCGTTGGCGTAGTCAAAGTCCGGTCCTGGGTCACTGGTATGGAAACAGTTCACAAGGAGCGAGGCGAGGTCCGAAGCAGGTAGCCGGGCGGGGACAGGAACACTGGAAGGTCAGAAGCTGGAAGCCGGGCGGGGACAGGAACACTGGAGGGTCAGGTCTGGGTCCGGGTAGGTGCAGGTACTCAGCGACGACGTTGCTCCCGCAACCTGGGACTGGGCTGACTGGCCTTTATCTTCTCTGAGGCCAGGGGCGGTCCCGGCCCCCAGGAGACCCGCCTCTCCTGGCCTTAAGGCGAGCACTCCTCCTGGGAGAAACCAGTTCCCTTCGCCTCTCTGCCCTGAGCCTCTGCAGTTCAGGAGAGGCTGAAGGGTTACTGGGCCCAGGGGGAGACTCACCTGTAGGCACTGAGTCCTCAACCACCTCTGGAGCCAGAATGGATTCACCTGAGGATCCGGCACAGGTGCAGGCGCTTCAGAATCAAGGCCCTGCCCCAGTTCAGCCGGCCCTGGAGGCGGGGACTCCTGCGCAGGCTGGGATTCCTCTGGTTCAGCCTCTGAATCGGATTCCCAGGCCATCACATTAACCAATTATCGAATGTTCTATCAACATCCACTTCATCAACATCCTTCTTATGACGTGATTCCAGCTTAAACTTGGAACTACAAGAAGAAGCCGGGGAGAGCAGAGAAAATATATCTACAAATTCCCCATTTAGGATGCGGTTGCGAAGATTCTTTTTAAGCCGAGTGCTGGGTGGCTGATCCGTCCGCTTGAAGTTTGACCCCCACACCCTCCCTTTTGCGTCCAGCCCATCTTCCTCGCATGGCTCCGTGACCCCAAAAGCGTGGCGATGACGCTGGATGTGATGTTCCCAAATCCAACTAGGAAGGCCAGGGGCCTTGTGGGTAGTAACCCAGTACCCCTTACAGCGTTCTTCCAACTTGCCACAGGAGGAATCACACGTACTTGAAAGATCCGAAGGATCCAAAGTGTCCCTCTTGCACTTACGCCCATGCTTCCTTGATCTGAAAGACCTCTTCTTCCTGCGTTGTGTTCTGCGCGAATTGGGGCTGCAGGAGCTGTCAGGTGAACTCGAAACGGGTGACCTATGCCTACGCCTACCCTCGCAAGAGGGGACTTAGACTTATCTAAATGCTCCTCAGCCTGGGCCAGGTGACACTGCAGGCTGCGATTCTGGCACATTAATTCCGGCACATCATCCCCACAGGAAAGAGAAGTGTTACTCTCAGCCACGAGCTCCTCTGGGAATACACACTTTTTCTTTTTAGGGTGGGCCCTGTAGGGCCTGGCATCAGAGGTGGAGGGCCCGTCAATATGATCATCCCTCGCCTTTTTTCTAGTTATTACAAGCCTCATAAGCAAGACAAGGCCCTTTAAAAATCCTATTGGTTGCTTTTATAGCGCTGCTCGGGGTGCCCTTCGCAGCGGCTTTAGGGGTGCCCTCCACTATGGCTTCATGAGTGTGAGAGGGGGAGCCTTCCCTTTGTTCTGCAGCCATGGCTAGAGACATGATGCATCTTGAGGCGAGCACACCACTACTAGCACCCGCTAAAGACCTGGGCGAGATGGGCAGGTCATCTTCTTCTTCTTCTACTACTACTACTACTAGTACTACTACTACTGCTACTACTGCTACTACTGTGAAGCTGAGGCTCCAAGACTTTGGCCACCTCATGAGAAGAGAAGACCTCCTGGAAAAGACCCTGATGTTGGGAAAGATGGAGGGCACAAGGAGAAGGGGACAACAGAGGACGAGATGGTTGGACAGTGTTCTCAAAGCTACCAGCATGAGTTTGACCAAACTGTGGGAGGCAGTGGAAGACAGGAGGGCCTGGCGTGCTCTGGTTCAGGGAGTCACCAAGAGGCGGACACGACTAAACCACTAAACAACAACTACTACTACTACTATATTGGCTATTTTTCTACAATGTTAGGTTGTTGTTTTTGCAATTAGAACATTTTGGGGGGGTAGCGACAGAACCAGCCAGCCTATCTGCACACACACATGCTGAAACTGTGGAAAAGGAATAACAAGTTAATTCACACCCATATGCTATGGGATCCTGTGGAGTAGACCCTCCTAGGATCAAATGCGCGCAGCACATGAGGCCCGTAGCCAGAGCGGAAAGGGGGGGGGATGCAAAACAACATGACCGTCTTGCACATTTGAAGCATCCCACGTGCGGCCTAGCCATGCCCCCCCCCCCAAGCCGCCAAAAAGAAATTGCCATGGGGTCTACGGTTGAGAGCGGCGGCAGCAAAATTAAAGGCATGCGGCCTACAGCTGGGGGCGCACACCACCCCTTCTGGCTGGTGGAGCGCCCCCCCCCCCATGGTGAGTGGTGGCCCACACACACACAAAAAGGCCCCGTGATCTAGCCAGGATGTAAATCTACTGACTGCTGTTTTGCTCCAAATTGCTTGGCTGGAATTTCTTTCTTTTACTGACCGCAGGGACCCACGGGGGACTGGTACCCCAACGAGCTGGGCTGCTGAGTAGTCTCTCAAGCCAGAATTTTCTTTAACAGATGGTGCCCCACGTGGGGCTAGTGGTTCTCCTGTGTGGTTTGGCAGGAAATCTTGAATTTTCCAGCGTGCACCAGGCAAGCGTAGCCTGGGGAAAGTGTCCTGATCTCAGGCCATACTGCACAGGCGGTAACTAGCTGAAAGCCACAGAGGTAAGCCCCAAGAAAGGGTGGGCAATTTGCTCTTGGGTCATTTAACAGAAAGCAGAGTAGAAAGCTGATTCATAGAATCGTAGAGTTGGAAGAGACACCCCAAAGGTCATCTAGCCCAACCCCCTGCAATGCAGGAATCTCAGCTCAAGCATCCATGATAGATGGCCCTCCGACCTCTGCTTAAAAACCTCCAGGGAAGGAGCACTACCTCCAGAGGGAGACTGTTCCACGGTCAAACCGCTCTTACTGTCAGAAAGTTCTTCCTGATGTTTAGTCAGAACCTCCTTTTTCATAACCTGAAGCCATTGGTTTGAGTCCTCCCCCCCAGAGAAGGAGGAAACAAGCTTGTTCTCCCTCCCATGGGACAGCCCTTCCGATATTTGAAGATGGCTCTCCTATCTCCTCTTTTCCAGGCTAAACATCCCCAACCTCATCAACTGTTCCTCCCAAGGCTTCGTCTCCAGACCCTTGACCACCTTGGTCCCCCTCCTCTGCACACCGTCCAGCTTGTCAACATCCTTCTTAAATTGTATTGCCCAGAAGGGGATACAGGATTCCAGGTGTGCTCTGACCAGGTGTGGTCTGGCATCTGGAAAGTAACAGTATTCTGGTTGAAACTGGCTTTCTTCTGTTGTGAGGAGACGGTCAATCAGTTCCTTCCTTAGCAGACCACAAGCTTCACATGAGCCCACAGTGTGATGCAGCAGCAAAAAAGGCTAAGGCTATTCCAGGCTGCCTCAACAGAAGTCTAGTGTCCCAGTCAAGGGCAGTAATGCGTCTATGGCACATGGTCTGATTCTGTATAAGGCTGCCTTATACAGAGTTCCCATGTCACTCTGGTCTGCTTGGCATTCTGGCGAAGCTCAGTGTACCTCTGAATACCCTAGAAACATAGAATCATAGAGTTGGAAGAGACCACCAGGGCCATCGAGTCCAACCCCCTGCCAAGCAGGAAACACCATCAGAGCACTCCTGACATATGGTTGTCAAGCCTCTGCTTAAAGACCTCCAAAGAAGGAGACTCCACCACACTCCTTGGCAGCAAATTCCACTGTCGAACAGCTCTTACTGTCAGGAAGTTCTTCCTAATGTTTAGGTGGAATCTTCTTTCTTGTAGTTTGGATCCATTGCTCCATGTCCGCTTCTCTGGAGCAGCAGAAAACAACCTTTCTCCCTCCTCTATATGACATCCTTCTATATATTTGAACATGGCTATCATATCACCCCTTAACCTCCTCTTCTCCAGGCTAAACATGCCCAGCTCCCTTAGCCGTTCCTCATAAGGCATCGTTTCCAGGCCTTTGACCATTTTGGTTGCCCTCCTCTGGACACATTCCAGTTTGTCAGTGTCCTTCTTGAACTGTGGTGCCCAGAACTGGACACAGTACTCCAGGTGAGGTCTGACCAGAGCAGAATACAGTGGCACTATTACTTCCCTTGATCTAGATGCTATACTCCTATTGATGAGGCCCAGAATTACATTGGCTTTTTTAGCTGCCGCGTCACACTGTTGGCTCATGTCAAGTTTGTGGTCAACCAAGACTCCTAGATCCTTTTCACATGTACTGCTCTCAAGCCAGGTGTCCCCCATCTTGTATTTGTGCCTCTCATTTTTTTGCCCAAGTGCAATACTTTACATTTCTCCCTGTTAAAGTTCATCTTGTTTGTTTTGGCCCAGTTCTCTAATCTGTCAAGGTCGTTTTGAAGTGTGATCCTGTCCTCTGGGGTGTTAGCCACCCCTCCCAGTTTGGTGTCATCTACAAATTTGATCAGGATGCCCTTGAGTCCATCATCCAAGTCGTTGATAAAGATGTTGAATAAGACCGGGCCCAAGACAGAACCCTGTGGCACCCCACTAGTCACTCTTCTCCAGGATGAAGAGGAACCATTGATGAGCACCCAGCCAGTTACAAATCCACTGAGTGGTAGCATAGTCAAGACCACATTTTACCAGCTTCTTTACAAGAATATCATGGGGCACCTTGTCGAATGCCTTGCTGAAATCAAGGTAGCTACATCCACTGCGTTCCCTTCATCTACCAGGCTTGTAATTCTGTCAAAAACGAGATCAGGTTAGTTTGACAAGACTTTCAGAAATCCATGCTGACTATTGGTGATCACAGCATTCCTTTCTAGGTGCTCACAGACTGTTTGCTTAATGATCTGCTCCAGAATCTTCCCTGGTATTGATGTCAGACTGACTGGGCGATAATTATTTGGGTCCTCTCTTTTCCCCTTTTTGAAAATAGGGACAACATTTGCCCTCCTCCAGTCTGCCGGGACTTCGCCTGTTCTCCAGGAATTCTCAAAGATGACTGCCAGTGGTTCTGAGATCACATTTGCCAGTTCTTTTAATACTCTTGGATGCAGTTCATCTGGCCCTGGAGACTTGAATACATCTAAACTAGCCAAGTATTCTTGTACTATCTCCTTAGTTATTCTGGGCTGTGTTTCCTCTGCTGAATCATTTGCTCCAAATTCTTCAGGTCGGGCATTGTTTTCTTTATTGGAGAAGACTGAGGCAAAGAAGGCATTGAGGAGTTCAGCCCTTTCTGTGTCCCCTGTTTGCATTTCACCATCTTCTCCTCTGAGTGACCCCACTGTTTCATTGTTCTTCCTTTTGCTACGGACATACCCATAAAAGCCTTTTTTGTTGCTTTTAACCTCTCTAGCAAGCCTGAGTTCATTCTGTGCTTTAGCTTTTCTGACTTTGTGTCTACATGTGCTGGCTATTTGTTTGAATTCCTCTTTGGTGGTTTCCCCCCTTTTCCATTTTTTGTACACATTCTTTTAAAATCTTAACTCAGTTAAAAGTTCTTTAGATAGCCACCCTGTACAACAGAATGCAATAAAGAAGAGAAGTCAAAATGAGAAGAAAGAGAAAATTTTGGGGAAAATAAAAGAAAGTGAGAAGAAGCTGAGAGCAAAACCAAAGTCGCAGGAGATTTTGAGAGAAATAAAATTATACCAAGTACAATATATGGAATTGATGAATCAGGAAATAGAATGGAAAATAAAACAAATGAGACAAAAAACATTTGAATCAGCCAATAAGTGTGGGAAATTGCTGGCTTGGCAAATGAAAAAAAGACAAAAATTAAACACTATTACAAATTTAGAAGTACAAGGAAAGAATATACATAACCCAACTGAGATTAGGAACTGTTTCCAGAGGTACTTTAAACAATTATATACACAAGGGCCACAGAAAGAAATGGATATAGACCAATTTTTGAAAACAAATGGATTACAAAAAATTTCTCAAGAAAGTAAATTAATGTTGAACTATAAAATATCTGAACAGGAAGTTGAGGGTGCCATTCAAAATATGCAATTGGGCAAATCTCCAGGACCGGATGGGCTGACTTCTAGATATTATAGACTGTTGAAAGAATGGCTACTACAACCTTTGAAGGAAGTCTGCAATGAAATATTGGAAGGAAGAAGGCACCAGAGTCTTGGAAGAGGCGTATATTATACTTATACCAAAGACAGAGACTGAAAAGACTCAGCTAAAGAACTATCGCCCTATATCGTTACTTAATGTGGATTACAAAATTTTTGCAGACATTTTGGCCAAGAGATTGAAAAAAGTATTGATGGAAAAGATTCATAAAGACCAAGCGGGCTTTCTCCCGGGAAGACACCTGTCTGACAATTTGAGGAACATAATTGATATCTTGGAAAAACTAGAAGTGAATATAAACACTAAAGCGGTTCTGATATTTGTGGATGCGGAGAAAGCTTTTGACAACATCTCTTGGAGTTTTATGAAGAAGAACCTACAGGGAATGGGGGTAGGCCAAGGTTTTGAAAACGGTATAGGTGCAATATACTCTGAACAAAAGGCTAAATAATGTCGTTACGGAAGAATTTAAGATAGAGAAAGGGACAAGACAAGGTTGCCCAATTTCCCCTTTGCTTTTTATATCGGTCCTGGAGGTCCTGCTGAATATGATTAGAAGGGACCGGTTGGTTAAAGGTATACAGGTTGGAGCCAAACAGTATAAATTGAGAGCATTTGCAGATGACTTAGTATTGACGTTACAGGAGCCAGAATCTAGTACTAAAAGAGTTTTAGAACTGATTCAAGAATTTGGTCAAGTTGCAGGCTTTAAGTTAAATAAGTTAAAGACCAAGGTTTTGGAGAAAAATTTAACACCAATGGAGAGAGAGAGGTTTCAGAATGAGACTGGTTTAACAGTGGTTAAGAAAGTTAAATATTTGGGGATTAATATGACAGCAAAAAATGGGAATTTATTTAAGGACAACTATGAAAAATGCTGGGCCGAAGTGAAAAAAGATTTAGAAATTTGGTCAAATTTGAAGCTTTCACTGCTGGGACGGATTGCTGTGATAAAAATGAATGTATTGCCTAGAATGTTGTTTTTATTTCAAACACTGCAAATTGTGGACAAAATGGACTGTTTCAAGAGGTGGCAAAGAGATATTTCTAAATTTGTCTGGCAGGGCAAGAAACCTAGAATAAAATTTAAAATATTAACAGATGCAAAGGAAAGAGGTGGATTTGCCCTGCCAGACTTTAAACTTTATTATGAATCAGCCGCATTTTGCTGGCTGAAAGATTGGCTACTTCTTGAAAATACTGATATTTTGGATTTAGAAGGTTTTAACAATGTATTTGGATGGCATGCATATCTATGGTATGATAAGGTTAAAGCACATAAAGCATTTAAAAACCACATTGTTAGGGAAGCATTGTTTAATGTCTGGATAAGATACAAGGATTTATTGGAAAACAAAACACCAAGGTGGCTGTCACCAATGGAAGCAAAAGCTCAGAAAAAGCTCAATATGGAGGCCAAATGGCCGAAATATTGGGAAATTTTGGAACAGGATGGAGATAGACTGAAATTGCAGAGCTTTGAGAAATTAAAAAACAAAGTGCGAGATTGGCTTCATTATTATCAGATAATGGAGGCATACAATTTAAATAAGAAAGTTGGCTTCCAGGTGGAAAAGTCAAAATTAGAAACAGAATTGTTAGAACCTAAAACTAAGATTTTGTCAAAGATGTATAACTTGCTGTTGAAATGGAATACTCAGGATGAAACGGTGAAATCTGCTATGATTAAATGGGCACAGGATGTTGGACATAATATTATGTTTGCTGACTGGGAACAGTTATGAACCACAGGTATGAAGTTTACGGCATGCAATGCCCTAAGAGAGAATATTATGAAAATGATATACAGGTGGTACATGACCCCAGCCAAGCTTGCAAAAATCTATCATTTGCCCGATAACAAATGCTGGAAATGTAAAGAAACTGAAGGTACATTCTTTCACCTTTGGTGGACGTGCCCAAGGATTAAGGCTTTCTGGGAAAAGATATATAATGAACTGAAAAAGGTATTTAAATATACCTTCTTGAAGAAACCAGAGGCCTTTCTTCTGGGCATAGTCGGCCAAGTGGTGCCAAAGAAGGACAGAACTTTTTTTATGTATGCTACAACAGCAACAAGAATACTTATTGCAAAGTATTGGAAGACACAAGATCTACCCACTGTGGAAGAATGGCAGATGAAGCTGATGGACTATATGGAACTGGCAGAAATGACTGGCAGAATCCGAGACCAGGCAAAAGAGTCGGTGGAAGAAGATTGGAAGAAGTTTAAAGATTATTTACAGAAATACTGTAAAATCCAATGAATGTTAGAATGATGTTGGATTGTAAATAAGTGGTTTCCAGCTGTAATGGTTTAAGGGAATATGAGAAAAAAGGGTTTTAAATTGGCAAAAATTTAATACAATTAATTTTTAAAGGATTTGCTGAACTAACAGACTGAAGTGGAATACAAAAAGGGGAGGTATGAGGAGGTCCGGGAAAGAAGGCAAGGAAAATAAGTAATCGAAAATATGTGTGTTTTTAATTATTTTTATGTTGTTGTATTTTTGTCATTTTTCTTTTTTCTTTTTTTCTTTATTATTGTAATATCTTAATTTTTTTTAATAAATATCTTATAAAAAAAAATATAGATAGCCACCCTGGCTTCTTTAGGCACCTTCCATGTTTCTGTCTCATTGGTATTGCCTGAAGTTGTGCTTTTACTATCTCCCTCTTAACAAACTCCCAGCCATCATGAACTCCCTTTCCTTTTAGTATTACTGTCCATGGGATCTCACCCAGCACTTCCCTAAGTTTTATGAAGTCGGCTTTCTTAAAGTCAAGAAATTGAGTCCTAGTATGCTTGGTTGCTCCTTTCCGCTGTATAGTGAACTTCAGAAGAGCATGATCACTCGCGCCTAATGATCCTTCCACTTCTACCCCACTAACCAGGTCTTCAACATTGGTTAGGACCAGATCTAAAATGGCTGTTCCTCTTGTTGCTTCTCCCACTTTCTGGACAATGAAGTTGTCTGCAAGGCCAGTGAGGAATCTGTTTGACCTTATGCTCTTGGCTGAGTTTGACATCCAACAAATATCCGGGTAATTGAAGTCCCCCATTACTACTATCTCCCTTCCTTTTGCATGCTTGGCCATCTGTTCCAGGAAGGCATCATCTATGTCCTCCGTTTGGCTTGGGGATCTATAGTAAACTCCCACAATGAGATCTCTGTTATTCTTCTCTCCCTTAATTTTGACCCAAATGCTCTCACTTTGGCTTTGAGGTTCTAAATCTTGGATCTCTTCACAGCTTTACACATCCCTGACATATAACGCCACTCCTCCTCCTTTCTTGTCTGGTCTGTTTCTCTGAAATAGATTGTATCCCTCCATTATTACATTCCAATCGTGGGACTTATCCCACCAGGTTTCAGTGATGCCTATTATGTCATATTTAGTTTGCTGTACCAAGAGCTCAAGCTCATCTTGTTTATTTCCCATGCTTTGCACATTAGTGTACAGACATTGAAGTCCATTAATCATTCCCCGTGTCTCTTATTTAAGGATTTTTCCTCCCACCACTAGGTCTGCGTGCTGTTTGCTCCATTTGGTCTATGACATTTGGATGATCATCTTCATCAATTGATAGACTCCTACCTTCAGGAGCACTGTCTCCCTCCCCACATTAGTCAGTTTAAAGCCCTCCTGATGAGGTTTCTGAGATTTTTGGCAAAAACATTCCTCCCAACCGTTGTGAGGTGCAGCCCATTGCTTGCCAGAAGTCCATCTTCAAGAAACTGCAGTCCGTGATCTAAGAATCCAAACCGTTCCTGTTTACATCAATTTGCGAAGCCAGCTGTTCACTTCCACTATTTTTCCCTCTCTCCCTGGGCCACGTCGTTCAACTGGGAGGACAGATGAGATGACAATTTGTGCATTTAATTGCTTCAATTTCCTGCCCAGAGCCTCGTAGTCTCTTTTGATCTTCTGGAGGCTATTGCTTGCAGTGTCATTGGTTCCCACATGAACCAAGAGGAAGGGGTATTTGTCAGTGGGTTTTATGATTTCTTGCAGTCGTTCAGTTACATCTTGGATCTTAGCCCCGGGGAGACAGCACACTTCCCGAGACATCTTGTCAGGCCCACAGATCACTGCTTCTGTTCCCCTCAGTAGGGAATCCCCTATCACCACTATACGCCTCCTCTTAGGTTTGGTCGGGGTTCTTCCGTGAGCTGTCCATTCCAAGGTCGCTTGCTCATTCCCTGAGGACTGACTTTGCTGCTCATCTTCATATACCTGATCGACTGTAATGAGGGAGAGATCCTCAAATGGAGTCTGCTCTTCGTCTTCCATGCTAGGGGAGAGGACCTCAAAGCGATTGTGTATTTCTAAACAATCAGAGCGAACCCTGGGCCTCCTACTTCTTTGAGTCACGTTTCTCCATATATCTGGCTCCTGTGTTGGTGAACTAGCCTCCTTCTCAGGGGTGTCCCCTGTCTCCTCCTTGGTGGAGACGGTGTGCTCTGTTGCTTCCAAGAAGAGCTCCAGCTCTCTAATTCTTTGGAGCGTAGCTACACGTTCCTCCAGTTGCTGGACTTTGTCTTCTAAGAGGGCAATCAACATGCAATTGCTGCAGGTAAAGCTGCCTGCAACCTTTGGCAAGATGGCAAACATTGCGCAGGAACCGCAGGCGACTGCAGCTGTTCCCTCACCCTCCATCTTGAGAACGTGTCGTTGGGGGTGGCTACAGCGGTCCTCCATCATAAAAGCGTGAAGACAGGACAAATAACTCCCCCCCAAAAAAACCTAGGTCTCCCCCAACAAACGTTTGAGACTAGCTCCCCTAAATCTAAAAGATGGATCAAACTGCCCTGCAAGCTCTGATAAGCTCCTCCCACAGCTAATCACCTGCCTCAACAGAAACCCTGCCCCCTCTGACCTTTGCACAGGGAGAGCAGCTAATCAGCCACAAAGAAACACACACACAAGAAAACCCACAAACACACACACAAGAAAACCCCTAGCTGAAGAGAATCACAAGTGTGGATGAGGCCATTGTGCTTACGTCTTGCTTGTGAGCTCCCTGTCGGGGCACCTGGTTTCCAGGTCTGTCTTTTGCCTGATCCATCAGCCGGGCTCTTTTGATGCTCTTTTGGTCCCCTTTTACAGATGGGTAACTGGATAAATCAAGTGATAAGAAAATACTTTCACTTTCCATAGGTCCAACATTCGGCTATTAATGTGCACTCAAAACCTGCGTCATATTCAGAACTCTGAGAGGGACGGGGAGAGTCAGAGGCTGCCAGAAGTTGCAGAGAGAAACAGCCAGACCAGCAACACCTCCAGGCTGAGAAAACTGCCCAGCAGAAGTCAAGGTAGTGAAAACACCCTGCTGTTCTGGTGGAATTAAGCAGAGGTGCGGATCCCTCCTGCAGGAGGAAATGGAGGGTGGGGGGTGGGGTGGGAAAATATTTTGCAAATGCCACAATGCGCCTTCTGCACTTGATTTTTAAGGGGCGGTTGGTGGTTGGAGTCAAAGTCTGCCCTCCTGGGTGATGCTCTAAAAGGGAGGGGAAAAGGGGGGGGCACAATCCATGCCAAAGATTCTCCCCTTTCTGTTTTTATATAATTTTTATTAAATTTTCTGTTTTACAATTGAAAATACTCATTTTACATCCTTAAAATAGCAATGACTTCCCTTCTTCTCTTTCCATGGTTCATTTTACATATCATAAATCCCTGCATATTTTACAAAAGCTAAACCATTCAGTATTCCATTATTGCATCCATCCAGACTTATTTACACTGCTGAATTTATCTTAATGCTGCCAGTGTTTTCAGCTGTGCACAATTATTTTCCATATATTCAATAAACATTTTCCAATCTTCTTTAAACACATTTTCTTCTTGTTCTCTTATTCTATATCTTGAGTCTGCAAGCTGTGCATATTCAGTCAACTTCAGTTGCCGTTCTTCTTTGGTTGGGACCTCGCTCGTTTTCCATTTTGGGGCTAACGAAACACGGGCCGCAGTAGTGGCACACATAAACAACCTTTTCTGACACCTGGGAATTTCAGTCTGAATTATCCCCAACAGAAAGGACTCGTCTTTTGTTTCCCAGTCTAATAACAGATTATACATTTTAAACAAAAGTTTCTCTTTGTTTCATAGAAGTTCTTTTTTGAATTGTGAGCTTTGGTCCGAAAAACCATTCTTTCTATCTATCTTAAACATTTCATGTGACAGATGGTATTGCAACCAATCCGTAATATGGCTCCTTACATTTTCCATTGATTTCAACATTCCTTGTTTTGCTAGAGTGGACATGCAAGGGAATGTTTGGTCCAGCCAGTTGAAACTTCCTGTTGCATGTGACTAGTGGGTGGGCGAGACCTTTCCAGACCTGGTAAAAGGCCAAGTCACCCTGCCACCTTCCCCCTTCCTCCCCTTTTTGTCCTGCCAGCTTCCTGCCTCACCTGGACTGGACTGCTGGCTGCCACAGCAGTTCCCCAGGTCATCTCCCATATGGGGTAAACCTGTTTGTAAATGTTTGTAACTTTAAACCTTAAGCCTGCCTTCAGGGATCACACTGTGCTTGGCCTGATCATAAGTGAAACTGCTTTTCGTTACTTATGAATAAGACTGTGGTGTCTTTATTCTTTTAGGAGGGATTCAAGGGGTCTTACCAGGAAAATATTAGAACACATTTCAATTTGGGCAAGCCGGATTGAATTGCTTATTGTTTTAAGAAACTCACACGAGTTTGCAACCAGCTGCGTCAGAAGCGGACTGCACTCTGCTAAGTGAAGAAACTTGCTAGCACAAGTTAGGAAGGATATTAATAAACAATATATTCTCTCCTGCCTCCCTGAACATTCCCACAAGACCATCTAGTCCAACCCCCACAACGCAGGAATCACATCTAAAGAATCCATGACAGATGGCAACCTACAAGGAAGGAGATTGCACCACCTTCTGAGGGAGTCTGTTTACCATCAAACAGTTCTTGCCTTCAGAAAGTTCCTCTCAGGCTTAGTCAGAATCTCCTTTTTTGTAAATCAAATCCACTGGTTTGGGTCCTGCCCTCCGGAGAAATAGAAAACAAGCTTGCTCCCTCTTCGGTGTGGCTAGAGTGTAGAAGGGGCGTTCTCAGGTGAAGTCATTCAGTTTAGAGTTTGATTTGTAGCCATGTTTACCCAGAACTGAGCTTATCTGCAATCGTTCTTGCCTTGTACAACAAGTGGGAATGGAAGGACCTCTAAGTTTTGGTTTTCCAGTTTCTACGGTTCCCTTTTGGACTTAGATCCCTCACAAGGAGTTCATTTGTTTTCACTGGAGCCAAGGTAGAGGGCCAGCAACCTTTAGCTCATTGAATGTTGCTTCCTTAGCTACCAGTCTTAAGTATCAGAGAGGACCAATTTATGTATTCCCCAAACTTTGTTTTTGACTAAGGACTCCAGTAGCAGGAAAGTCCCTGGAGAGAAACTGAGTTTCCAACACTGAGAGTCCCCCAGGAGTTCTGCAAATGACTTTTGGTGTTTTTAATGCAGGATTTCTGGACCACTGTGAACCTTGATGGGAGCTTGTCTTTCTGCAACAGGCAGCATGGCCGAAGGTGAGTCTTTTCCTGATACTGACCATCCTGAGGTAGCAAAACAAATGCTGCATGACTTCAAGGTGGCCACAAACAAGTCTTCTCCTTGGATCATGCTGAGGGTAGAAACTGTGGTCAGGGTGCCCACTGGAAAGAAACACCACAACACATTTTCTGTGCACCCTCGACTGGCAAGAGAAATAGGGGTAGGAAATTTCCCTTGTACGGTGGAACCTCGGTTTTCGAACGTAATCCGTTCCAGAAGACCGTTTGAGTCTTGAAATGTTTGAAAACTGAAAACTCAATACCTCAACACAATATGGAAACTCAAAATGGAAGCTGCGCAGCATGTTCAACTTCTGAAAAGTGTTTGAAAACCAAAGCATTTCCTTCCGGGTTTACGGCGTCCGAGTTCCGAAATGCTTGTCAACGGAGACGTTCAAAAACAGAGGTTCCACTGTAGCCTCAATAGAATCACAGCACTGCAAAGTTGGAAGGGACCCCAAGGGTATAATAATAATAATAATAATAATAATAATATTACTTATACCCTGCCCATTTGGCCGGGGGCCCCCAGCCGCCTTCTAAAAGTCAGGTAAAGGTAAAGGTACTCCTGACCATTAGGTCCAGTTGTGGACGACTCTGGAGTTGCATGTACATCTCACTCTATAGGCTGAGGGAGCCAGCGTTTGTCCGCAGACACGCAGACAGCTTCCGGGTCATGTGGCCAGCATGACTAAGCCGCTTCTGGCGAACCAGAGCAGCGCACGGAAACGCCGTTTACCTTCCCGCTGGAGCGGTACCTATTTTTCTACTTGCACTTTGACGTGCTTTCGAACTGCTGTTGGCAGGAGCAGGGACCGAGTGATGGGAGCTCACCCTGTTGCGGGGATTCGAACCGCCCACTTTCTGATTGGCAAGCTCAAGAGGCTCAGTGGTTTAGACCACAGCACCACCAGCGTCCCTAAAAGTCAGGTAGTTGTTTATTAATCTAGTCTGATCCCCTGCAATGCAGGAATCGCAACTACCGCACGCATGGCACATGGCTAGCCAACCTCTGCTTAAAAACCTCCACGGAAGGAAAGTCTGATGCTCTTGGCATCAGAAAGGTCTTCTTGACATTTAGTCAGAATCGCCTTTCTTGTAAAACAAATTAGGTAACTAATAAGTAGCACACCTATGAAACATTTGTAAGACTTTTGTGTGTGTGTGTGTTAGTCTCAGGAACTTTGCTGACATGGTATTTTTTATCTCTTATTTAGCCAGAACAGACAAAGAATTGAGAATTCTGCTCATTGGCAAAAGTGGATCTGGGAAGAGCGCAACAGGAAACACCATCCTGGGGGCTGAGAAATTTAAAAGCACATCCAATCTTGAGTCAACAACCAAGGCCTGCGAACGAAGAGAAGCCACTGTAGGTGGCAGGACAATTGTTGTTGTTGACACACCTGGGTTCTTTGATACAGCGCATAAGAAACGCTTCACACGAGAAGAGCTGAAGACGTGCGTTGGTCTGGTCTTTCCTGGAGCTCACGCCATCCTCGTCGTGATAAAAGCGGGAAAGATCACGAAGGAGGACCAGGAAACAATTCAGCTCGTGAAAAAGCTCTTCAAGGATGAAGGAAAGAACTATCTGATTCTTTTATTCACCTATAAAGATGAGTTAGATAAGAATCATTTAACTATAAATGAGTTCATACGAGGCGCTGAGGGGCACCTGAAGGATCTGATTGAGATGTCCGAAGGACGATTGATTGCTTTTAACAATGTGGCTGATACAAAAGAAAAGCAGAATCAGGTGAAGGAGCTCATTGAGATGATTGATGGCTTGGTGGCACTCAATGGCAGAACACCAATGTACACCGAAGAACAATTCAAAAAGGACAGCTCTAGTTCATGCTGTAACATTTCGTAATATCGGCAGTGAGGAGTCGGGAATCAAGGATGGAGATATGTTTGCCCACCACCGCTTTCTTTTCTTTTCTTAATAATAATTTTTATTAGTTTTCAATTACTATCCAATAATAGCCTCATTATAACAATACCAATTTATAATACAGTTATTAATACCAATCGTTCAAATACTGGGTCGTACAATTTAGATAGTGGCCCCCCGCATGCTAGAATTGATGGCTTGATTATTTTCTTTATTTCTGCATTCCAAAATCTTATTACTTTCCATTACTTTCCCTTATACAACAACTGCAATATTAATAACTGTCAGTTTGCATTTTCTTAGTGCAGAAAGATCTTTCCTATTCTATTTAATTCAAGAAGGTTCTGGAAGCTTCTGTGTGTGAAAGAAACAAGCAGAAGGTTCCTGATGTTTGGGTTATTCCTTCAGAGAAGCTGAGTCCAGCTGCCTTAAACTGGTTCTGTTTTCTTTTCTTTCTATAAAAGTTGCGGCCAGAAGGAGCCTGGGTTTCTGTTTCTGTTTCTCTTCCTTCTAGTGTGCTGTTCTGTACATAGTACGCTTAGTGTGAAGGTTTAGACTTGTTATAGGTTATTGTAAGTTGAAGTCTGCAAGTGGATTTCTTATTGACTGTGCCAATCCTCAATGTGTTGGATTTGTGACCACTCTGCTCATCTGCCTTCAGTAGCAGTAAAGCTCTGCTGGATGAAATATTCATTGTCTCTGGTCTATTTTGGGGGGAATCCTGCAACGTGTTTGAGTTTTATTGGCAAGACCCAGGAACTACAGTGGTACCTCGGGTTAAGTACTTAATTCGTTCCAGAGGTCCATTCTTAACCTGAAACTGTTCTTAACCTGAAGCACCACTTTAGTCAATGGAGTCTGTAACCTGAAGCGTCTGTAACCTGAAGCGTATGTAACCCAAGGTACCACTGTACAGCATGTTTGCCTGCAACAATGTGAACAAATTTTTCTTCTGAAAGTCTAGCCCAGAGTAAAAAGTTTGAGAACCACTGCAATAGACCTGCTTCTATCTTCCTAACAGCCCCTGCCCACTCTGGTCCCCTCACCCCAAAACCTGTGGCAATCTGGGTCTGTCTCTGCCTGACTTGACCAAAGCTCATTGACCACAGGATGCCTGCCTGCAGGGACTTGCCCAGAAAAACAAAGAATCATGGCATGGCAAAGTTGGAAGGGAGCCCAAGGGCCATCTAGTCCAGGACTCTTTCCCACAAAGTGGAGCTTGAACCCACGTCCCTGAGATCTCTACCAACTGCGCTATCCTAGTAAGCCCTCGCCTTGCTCTGAGCTTGACCCAAACTGGGGAAGCAAGATTTATTTATTTTTAATTTTTTTATTCAAAATTTAAACAAAACATGTTATCCAGAAACATATCATCCTTCTCCCCCCCCCATTTTTCCTCCTTCCCCCTACCCTCCCACACAACCCCCACCCCACCCCACCCGGCTTCCCTCAGTTCCAGTCTTTGATTTCTCTAAGAATGCTGTTTTCTGCATGTTACACAGTTGTATAGATCCTCAAACTATTTAGCTGATGGTTATCAATAAAAAGTTTGTGAATGTTTATTCAAAGCCAGCCAAGGAGTCCAGTTCGCTTTGTTGCGTCTTCAAATACTTTGTAAAGGGTTCCCATTCATCTTTAAAGTCACAGTTATCCTTGTCCCGTAGCTTGTATGTCAGTTTGGCCAGTTCTGCATAGCGAGAACTGGAAGCAAGATTTCTTGGGGTGTTCATACTGCAAGCCTCTCCATCCTATGCTCAGGTTGCATTTGTGGCTGGAACCACACAGTGGCGTAGCTGGCTGCTTGGGCGCCCGGAGCAGAGCACACTGCGTGGAGCCTCTGCGGAGTCTGCCTGGTGGACGCAAGCCCCACGCTGCCATTTTGGGCAGCGTGGAGCCTGCAGGTGCTCACGCCACCACACCACTCCCGGGAGAGACGCGTGGCTCAGGGGCGCTGCCGGCCAGGCCCCGCGGTAAGTGCTGCCCCCCGCGGTGTGCCATCACCCCCCTCAGTGATGACACCCGGGGCCGTCTGCACCCACCGCACCCCCCTTCCTACGCCACTGCAACCACATATCCTAAGAGCAGCAGAGTCTCCAATCGCCTCTGAATGCCATGTTTGGGAATCACAGGTGAGGAGCGTGTGGCTGTGACAGGATGCAGGTGGGTCCCTGGCCAGATCCAAATATTGGGCTCGTCTTACATAGTGGCTCCTAGATCCTGTTCATCACTTCTAGAAAATCTGACCCCCCTTTTTCCACAGTGTCGGACTCACACACAAGCACAGAGGGGTCTTCCTTCCCCCAAGGCCACATTCTACACTCTTCTAGGCTTCTTTGGTTTGGTAAATAGCTTTGTTGCAGAGTCATGTGAATCCGTATCACTGCAAGAGGGAGAAAAACTGAGCACGGCTTTTAAGCCATGTAGGTTGAGAAGAACACAGGAAGTTGCTTTTGGGTGAGGCAGGAAGAAAGCCAGATGTGATTACACATTGCTTTTGGTGCAAAGCCAGCCGCCTTGGGAAATCAACTTGACATGGCCAGAGCATTTTCAAGAAAGGCAGCCAGAGCCTTTCAGGGATAGCAGCCCCCTCTCTGCACAACCCCCCACCCCCATTTCCTGGTCATGTTTTTAAATAGTGGGTACTCTTGGTTCTTATTTCAAGCCATTGAAGGCAATTGCTCTGGAGCAGTGGTGGTGAACCTATGGCACTGTGAGCTTCATGGCTGAGTGGCAGGGATTCGAACCCAGCTCTCCCAGCTCTGAGCCTGACATCCAAACCACTACTGCTGCCCATTGAACTCTAACCTTCCAAGTTAAGTTAGGTTGCTCATCTTGCCACACAAGAGTTTATTTCTTTATTAATTACATTTATATCCCACCTTTTCCTCCAAGGAGTTCATAATTCTCTCCCTCCCCATTTTATCCTCGCAACAACACTGTGAGGTAGGCTAAGCTGAGAGTGAGGGATTGGCCCGAGGTCACCCAGTGAGATTCATGGCTGAGTGGTGGGGATCTGAACCCTGAGCAGTCAGGGATTTCCTAGTCTGACACTCTATCCCAGGGTCTCCAGCTGTTTTTTGGACTACAGTTCCCATCATCCCTGACCACCGGTCTTGCTAGCTAGGGATGATGGGAGTTGTAGGCCAAAAACAGCTGGAGAGGGTATGAAAGACCAATATGAGCTATTTTAGGGGGCAGATGACCCAACTTGAAAGTAAGAAAACACACGCCAAATAATGTACCCCAGCAAAGTGCACCCAACTGCAATCCCCGTAGCGACCAACAACCAATCTGCCACGAGACGCGGTACATTCTGCCTCCTGCCAGAAACCTGCTCTGCTCTTTGCCTGGCCCATCGGTTTCCTATCATGTAACTCCTGAGATCTGCATTGGTTATGTTGGGCTCCAAATACAGCTCGTTGATGTAATAGCCTCCTCTGTTCTCCTGAACCATGTCGTGGATCATGTCCATCAGCTCGGAGACCTGCTCCTCCCTCTCTTCCCCTTCTGCCCTGTTATTGAAAGCGCAGAAGCGCCGGCCCCATTTCCCCATCAGCTCCTTGACAGCCTTGTTCTCTGACCACCCCACATAATCCCGCAAGGAGCCTCCACCTAGATCTTCTTTGCGGGTGAACAAGACCACCATGTGCTTGGTGACCTCCAAGCCAAAGACATCCTGGACTTGCTTCGCTACCGCCTCATCTTCTGCTGTGAAACGGCCCACCTGAGTCACGAAAACCAGAGCGTGGGGACCAGGCCTGGACAGCTCAATGCAACGGATGATCTCGGCTGCTAATTCTTCATCACTGAAGGCACCTGAGCTCAAAATATCTGCTGTGTCCACCACCAAGACAGTCCTGCCATTCCAGGTCCCCTGGCCTCTTTGGCAGGTCACAGTTGTTGTTCCTGGCCTAAGCGCCGACACGAATTCTTTCCGGCCAAGGATGGTGTTTCCCGTGGCACTTTTCCCACAGCCTGTTTTACCGACGAGGATTATCCTCAGTTCTCTGTCTTCTCCTGTGAGCAATGGAGGAGATGTTAGAGAATAGGAGATCAGCAACCACAGGGCTCGAGTTCTCTCCAGGTGAACGTCAACCCTTTTCTGATATTCAACGCAACACCTCACTGCTGTCCAGCGAAGCAGAGGGGGTGAAAATGGCAGCAGCTCACCTGTTTGTTGTTTGGGATGGAAATCTGGCAGGAGAATAGGATGGGGATTTGCTTCTGCTGCTTGTCTGATACAGTGGTACCTTGGTTTTCGAATGTAATCAGTTCCGGAAGAATGTTTCCAAAACGTTTGAAAACCGAAAACTCAATACGGAAGCCTCAGTACAATAGGGAAACTCAAAAAAGAAGCCACGTAGCGTGTTCAGCTTCCAAAAATCATTTGAAAACTGGAGCAGTTACTTCCGGGTTTTCGGCATTCAAAACCCGAAATGTTTGACTACGGAGGTGTTCAACAACCGAGGTTCCACTGTATTTCCATTCCCTTAAAATTAGTGGCCTTTGTGTTGAAATGAACGGTGTGGTATTGTGTAATTAGTCACAACATCCGTTATGATCCGTGCTACTTTTGTAGAAAAAAAGAGTGTGCTGGAGCTCACCAAAAACTTCTCCCTTGTTCTGTAACACTAACACACCTGAGAGGTACCACAGCTGAGCTCCAGCTGAAAAAATGCCCTGGTTATTATTATTTATTAAATTTGTATTTCACCCTTCATCCAAAAAGTACAGGGCTTTTCACATCATAAAAATACGAAACGAGAAAACTAAAAACATAATGAAACAAGGACAAAAACAAACCAATAACCCCGTTCCCACAAACACATTTAAAAGGCCATAGAAAGTTAATCAGCCAAAGGCCTGGCTGAAGAGAAACTTTTTCTCTTGGTACCTAAAGGATCTGCGATGAAGGCACAAGGCAGGCCTCCCAGGGAGAGCATTCAACAAATGGGGAGCCACTGTAGAAAAGGCCCTGTTCTTGGGTTGCCACCCTCCGGACCTCTTGAAGAGGAGACGCACAAAGAAGGATCTCAAGGGATGATTGCAGGAACCGGGCCGGTTCATCTGGGGAAATTTAGCATGTTACATTTGGCCATGGTGGATAGCAAGACGAATCAGGTAGTTTTTGTTGGAAGCTGGAATGCAGTGGAAGGAAAACTGTGCTGATTGTGCCAAGTACAGCTTAGACCCAGGTTATCTGAAGGACTGTCCTCTCCCATAAGAATTTGCCAGGCTGCAAACAGGGGTGACAATCTGAATTTTTCAGATGGTTTATCACTGTAGATCATGACATTCGTATAGTTGGTATCGTTTAAAATCCAAGCCGGTTCATATGAGGGAATACAGTCTTTCAGATAGCTTGGACCTAAGCTGTAAAGGGCTTTAAAGGTCCTTGAATTTTGCCTGGGAAATGATGGGTAGCCAGAGAAGCTGTTGTAACCAGGGAATCGTCTGCCCCCTGTAACCTTCAGGAAGGGGAGAGCTGGGAATACTGGTGCGGTTTCAACTGGAACCATTAAAAATGGAGGAAGGGATAAATAATGTTTGTGAGACAATAGCTAATGTAGATTTCTCCCCCAAAATGTGATGTTTTGCCTTCTTTCTTACCTTCTCCGACGGAATCTTCATCTGCCTGAAATATTTGTGATAGTTTAAGGTTAGTCCAGAGCAGCCTTCGGTTTGCAAACTTGAACACTAATTTGGTGCTAGTTGAGAAATGCTTTTAAATCTATTATTATTATTATTATTATTATTATTATCATTATTATTAAATCACCCACTGCTCTTCTTTAAGAACAACTCCCCTGAATCTTCTCAGAGCTCTGAGGCTTCACTTTTTGCAAAGTGCACAGACCCTGAGAAACAGAGATGCCGTATTTTTCTGTGTATAACACGCCCCCTTGTATAAGATGACCCCTTTTTGGGGGGACTGCGACAAAAAATGGGGGGGGGATTGCCACAGCCACCAATTGTCTGCATGCTCACTGCCATAAGTCCTCCCGCACACTACACAAAACCACACACAATTGCACGCAAGCATCGCCACTGCCGCTAACCAATCGCCCAATTGCCGCAGCCGATCGTAAGCAGGCCTTGACGCAGACACCAATCACACCCCCAAGCGCCAATGCCAGTCTCCGGCCGGCTGCCACCACCAATCACCAGTTTTCTCCTGCTCTGGAGGGCGGGACTCGAACCCATGGCTTCAAGTTATGAGAAAGGAGATTCTGACTAAACATCAGGAAAACCTTTCTGACAGTAAGAGCAGTTCAACAGTTGTGGACTCTCCTTCCTGGAGATTTTAAAGCAGAGGCTGGGTGGCCACCTGTCAGTGATTCTTTAACTGTGTTTCCTGAATTTCAGGGGGTTGGACTAGATGACCCCTGGGTCCCCTCCCAACTCTACAGTTCTATGATTCTATGAATTACCTTTCTACTCTCCTTTCCGTTAAATGATCCAAGAGCAAATTGCCCACCCTTTCTTGGGGCTTACCTCTGAGGTTTTCAGCAATGGTTCACGTGACATGTTTTCTCCCGTGGCAATTTTCTTGCTTCAAGGTGACAGTCTTCCAGGATTTGTTCCTGCGAACAATGTAAGTTAGTCATTTGTCTGAAAGCCAGCCTGCCCCATGAGCCGAAGGCAGGGCGTGCGTGCAACATCTATGATGATACATCAACCCCAGTGCAGGGCTTGCTAAACTCAACAGAATTGCTGAATTGCAATTCAAAGTGCAACCTCCACCAAGTCCACCACTTGCTCCACCACTTGCTCAGGAGCAAGTCCTACTGAATTCAGTGGGGCTTCTTCCCAGGTGTAGCAGGAAACCCCCCCCCCCATCATTCAGTTTGTACAAACTTCACACACACTCACACACTACATACGCTACACTTCTGTTATAAATTCATAGAAAATCAACCATACATCGGATTTGCACTGTTCCACTTTTATTTTACTCCATGAAGGAAGGACTACAAAATGGGGAAGGTTTGATACAGGCCAGCCCAGCACATCCACAGGAGCCCTGCCCAGTTGCTATGCCAACCCTGATGGTCCTAGACAGAAGACAATCAAGATCACAAAGAACTTGCATATGGGAGTGAATTCAGCATGGACTGGAACAAAGGACAATGATCAGATCTTCCCTCTGGGGGCAGGAAACTGCGACTACCTTTTGTCTTCAGAAAATGACTCATGGGGAGGGGGAGAAGGGAACCAGCCAGGTGACAGGACACTCAGGTTACCACCACAACTCCTCCCTCAACCCCTCCTTTCTGTGATGTATGCATGATGTTTCTGGGCGTGGGCTTGACCTACAGGATGGGAATTTCAAAAGTTTTTATAAGGTCTTGCACACCATTTTTGTGTGTCTTTCCTCTCTCCTGCAAGTGAGGGGAACACCCTGTTGCAACAGTTCAATAAAGGCCAAGCCTACAGGCTGCTGTTTTGCTCCAAGTTGTCCTGGTTGGTATCTTTGTTTTTGTCCAAGGGAGCCCTCGGATTTTCCCGGTAACACAGGTAAGTGTGGTTAGGATTGCAGCGTTCACTGTCTTATAAATTTAAGTCTTATTTATTTATTTCTAGAATCTTTTTTAATTGATTTTCAATTTTTAACATTTTTATAACATCATATCTCCATTTATATGTTTTTAGCTACAATTCAGTTTATATTTAAAGTAGATAATTAAATGAGCAAATTAAATGAATTCTCATATGCAGAAGATATTAAAAAATAAATTTAAGGAACCACAGAAAGAGGCGGAAGGAAGCCAAACTTTGAAATGCTAAAATGATTGTGAAATTAATGAAATGTATAAATTTCAAAAGGATAAATAAAACCGTTTTTGAAAAAGCTCTTAATATTTTTATAATTGCACAGAAGTTGTTGCAGAAGAAGAAACCCAAGAGTCTTGAAGTTGTTGGAAGACTCCTTCCTGTTTTTGCTGCAACAGACTCTGGGTCTTTCTTAGGAGAGAGCCTTGTTGAAAAACGTCTCCGGTTTTGACCCTGTTCTCTTCACCCCTTCCCATCTACCTCTTTGGAGATCACAGGTGTGGCTCCTCCAGATCTTTCCTACTTCTGGACGTTCTTGGACGACATTCTTTTCCTGAAGTGCAGAGGAGGCGGCTGCTGTTGGCTCCAAGCTGGAAAGGAAAGATAGGCTGCAATAAACTACGTTCTCCTCCAGTGAGAAATGGCCAAAACTCCACCCACAGCCTGCCAGGAAAAGCTGTTGGCTTAAAGAAAGAGTTTTTGCCCGCACAAAAGCAATCATGAGGGTTAATGCTGCTAAGTTCTGCTGCAAAGGAAGTTACAGACATTTCAACATTTTTGTTCATGTGTCTTTGCAGCTATTTTGGTCCCGGTGTTTCCCTCCACGACCTTGACTCTCACTGTCTTTGTGTCCCTTATTCCTGTCCTGAAGTTTTAAAGGGGTGCAGGCAGCAGCTGCCCAGCAGAGAGGCAAGGCACTCTGCACAAGCTCAGAGACCATTGTGGCCCCATTATCATGGAATCAGAAGATTTGCCTTCAGAGCCTCTTTCTTTTTCCTGGCATTTTGCAGATTGTGCAGCTGCAAGCTCAAGTTCCCGACCCCTGTGCTAGAATGGTGGAATATAATAAACTGCCCCCAACTGGGGAGAATAACCTTACCGTATTATTCTGTGTATAAGACTATATTTCCCCCAATTTTTTTAAAGTTTAAAATTGGGGATCGTCTTATACATGGAATGTTTAAAATATTTATTTCTTAATTTGGGGCTCAAAAAATAGGGGTTGTCTTATACATGGGGGCGTCTTATAGACGGAAAAATACGGCAATTAAAATTAAAGTCCTTCTACAGATTTTACTTCTAATCCACCCTAAGTTTAGAACAACCATCAAGTGACTGAGAAACGATAGCAACCTTATTTGGCAATGGAAGGAAGAACAGAGAACCATTTGCCACTTCCAAAGCATACATTTAAAGCACCTCTGATGCGCTTGGCACTATCATACCTGTAGGTCAGACATGCTTCCGGACACACTTTTCCTGCAATCGCAGTGTGCATGCTACACTTGCTATAGGAAAATCCCTGGGCTCACTTGGATTGCCAAACAAAGACACCAGCCAAAAAATGAGGAGCAAAACAGCAGCTGGTCGGCTTGACCTTTTATTCAAAAGACTGCTGCAACAGGACTTCCACATGGCAGAAGCCCCGAACAAAGGGATGTTTCCTCTTTCATAAGTTTTCTTTTTGTGGGAATGTTCAGGGATGCAGGAGAGGATATATTATCTGATTATAGCCTTTCCAACTGGTGTAAACAAGTTCACAATTTAGCAGAGTAACATTCCCCTTTTTAAACTTGCAGCGGATGCGTTTGCTCAGGCTCGCTGAAGCCTCTATAATAACTGTTCTGGTATTTCCCCCTTATTCCCTCATAAAAGAGAAGACACGACACAGTCTTCTATAAAAGTATAAAAAGAGTTTACTCACACATCATTCTGTTCACAATAGAATCCCAGAAGGCAGACTTAGCTTAGAAAAGTAACATACACCTGGAAACTATCTCATAAGAAGACAGTCCCTTTGTCCTCTGTTTGGCTGGAGGCCAAGAGAGCATCTTTGCCTACGCAGATGTTGTATCTTCGATGCATGTAGTCAAAAAGAGAGAGAGACGGCTGCCCTGTGCTTTTGTCATTACCTGCACAGGTGAGGCCACACCCACCTCTAGTCACATGCAGAGGTAGTCTGTCCCAGCCCAGAAGGAAACAGGAAGTTTACCTGCCGGCTGGACAAACATTCCTCCCCATGTGTAAACATGTTCACTCTAGGAATGTTGTAGTTGTGTTTCACATCCCCCACTTTCCCCCACAAACACCTTTGGTGAAACATCATGCACACATCTTAGATACATCATACATATGTCACAAATGGGGAGGGGTCTCTGGCAGAAACCCGTCCATCGGGTTCTGCCCCCAACCCTCTCTTGCCCTCCACCTTACCCCCATCGAGTGATACAAAGGAAGTATTGACAAGTTCCTGGGTTTCCAGGTCAGGTAATGACACCTCTTTGTCCTGACCCGGGAGCACAATCCATTCTTGGATGGTTGGCTATTGTGCATGAGATGACCACCTGCCTGGCACCCATTTGCCAGGATGCCAGTGTGCAAAACACTGCTGAGTACGTGATCCCAGGTTTCAGGGATTATGGTTGCCCACATCCCAGACTCCCCCCTTGATAGCTATTCCTTCCCTGAACAGAACAAAGTTGGAATGGCACAAATCCAGACAGGAGAGATTTTATATGCCTTTCTAAAGTTTTCCCAGTGGGCCAGTATGTAGATATGTTTATCAGTGGATTGTTGCATTTGGTGATGTGCAGCGGAGGCCCTTTGAACAGAGATACGAAAAAACTGTGATGAAGTGTTTTGTGGGGACATTTGCAGGAGTGATTGTGTTGAGTTTGGTAGTGTGTGTGTGTGTGTGTGTGTGTGTGTGTGTGTAATGTCTGCTGGAGGGCAAACACCCTGCCCGCCCCCAACCTTTACATAAATTCCTGTAACACACTCCAGATATATGCATGTGAAATAAGGTTTTCGTGCGGCATAAACAAAACATAACATGTGGGATGAAACTGCAAGATCTCTGCTGCGCTGTTGTGCAAAGAGGAGAGAAACTGCTATGATGTTTTGCATTCAAGGTGGAGCAGGAAACAGAAACCACTGACATGAAAAACAGGATGCTCTTCCTGCCTATCGGGGTTCCCCACACTACGCAGGGTGCTATTTGTAACGGTGCAAATTCTCAGAAATGGTCCACAGCACATAGATTTCGCTTTTGCTTTTGCTGTTTACTCCAATAGTTTCCCTGCAGCTTTCTCTGCCTTCCTTGTCCTCCTGAGCAGGGAGAGCCTTCTGAAATCTCAATCAGGGATAGTCCGACCATGAGGTGGGAGAATGCATGTTCTCAAAGAGCCCCTGTTTTCCAGGGACAGCCCAGGAATTGCATAAGCCATCCCAGTTTCTGATTTGATCCTGGAATGCCCCGGTTTTCCTTTTTCCTCCCCTCGAAGTATCGGAGAACAATTAAAAGTGGTGTGTAGGAGCAAAAATGGACTCCTGCTTACCCTGAAAATAAAATTCCTGCACCAAATGGAGGAAATGGTGATGGTGGCGCACAAAGCCCCTCCTATAATTTTGAAGGAAAAGGTCACCAATCCCCTTTCCATTCCGTAATTGCAATGCTTCAGCTGCCAGCCATTTCTCAGGAAACACTGGGAGTGTTTATTCCTTAATTGAAAATGGAGCCTTGAGCTGTCTACTCCCAGGTAACTGGGTAAAAGCTAGGCAGCTTTACACTGCAAGCTGAACCATGTTTACTCAGAAGTAAGTCCCACTGAGTTCAATAGGATTTACCATGGGGCTGCCCCTACAAATACCAGACAGATGGGTGATTAAAGGGTCTGAGGAACAAGGAGGTGGAATGAGGGATGCAGGACAAATTTGATCCAGCTTCCTTTGAAAGGTGGAAATAGTAAATTTCC